GTTTAGATATTAATGATGACGGTGATGATTTTTCTCAAAATAATTGAAATTGAACGACAAAAATAAAATTATTTAAGTCACTAATTAAATTTGCCTGATTATTATTATTACATTTTAAACTATTAATAACTATAATATTAAAATGTTATTTAAAAATAAAACAATTATTGTGACTTTAAAATTATATATTTTATGATCTGTATTTTATTAATAAATAAACTAACGAGTTTATTTAACTATTAACTTATAAACATCTTTGATAAATTTTTTAATTTTAATAAAATATCTTGATACTTCTATTTTTAAAAACAATTATTATTTAAATTCCTATAATTTAAATAATGAGTTTCTTAAACTAAATTAAATATTATACAAAGTAATAATGTTTCATTATAAATAAATAAAACATAACTTTTGAACAAATATATTTATTTTAATTAACATTTTTCAGTGTACAACGTTCAAATCATTGTCAAATTTAATTTTAAAAACATATACAATTAACTTCAAAATCACTAAGATTACTTTTGTGTGGTTGAACTGAATTGACATACTTGATATATAAGGACCCTGTTCATTCAACTGAAACTGGTTTTTTATGATTTGTCGGATAGGAGTCTTCATTGGGGATTCTCCATTGAAAGGGTGGGGTTGAGTTGGTTGATGATCCTGGTGTTGAATAATGGCTTGTAGTTAGTGTTAGTGGTTATTGTTGTGGGGATTGTGGTCGTGGTAATTGTGTTTGTGGTGATTGAAGTTGTAATGGTTGTGGGAGTGGTGATGGTGGTGATTGTGGTACAGGTGGTGATGGCGGTGGTGGGAGTGGTGGTCATGGTGCAGGTGGTCATGGAGATTGGTGCTTTCTGTGTCTCCAGATTAACATGGTGGTCACACAATAATACCATTATACACCCTATTATCACAAATCGTCTCATTGTTTAGAAATTTTATTTTTAAACAGATTATAATAAAATATAAATATTGTAATAGGCTAGGATATTTATGCATTTTATATACATTGACTAAAACATGAGTATGCTATTTCTGTACAGACTATGATGTAATTTTTAAATTTTGTCAAATCAAATGATTATACAATTTTTATGACTTTTATCCGATATTATAATATATTTTTAAAAATATTTTAAATATATAGCAAAATGAGATATTTTAATTACTACTTATACACTAAATCATTAATATGTTTTATAATACTATATCTAATTTTTTAAAACTAAACTTATAAGATTTAGTTAAACATTTTTAAATATTTCATAGGATTTTAGATAATATATTTGATTAGCTATTAAGCATAGACGTCTAAATTACCTAATTATGATACAATATATTAATGAAATCATAAAACTTAACAATAAACAAAGCATATATAATTAAAAATAATTTTATTTTAAATTAATTATCAATTAATCAATTTAATATTTTTATTATATAGTGGATTACAGATTTTATCCTGGATATATCAATTTTACACAAATAAAACTATCGTTTATTACATAATATATAAATATTTGCCAAGATTATATTAATATATAATTATATAACTGTATGGATTAAAAATAATAATTAGATTATGTTTATAATAGTACTATGTATTATTAAGAATTACTTTTAATTACTCCACCATTACTAGGGTCACCCATTATTTGGCATAGGTGTAGGTGCTGGGGTATGTCGTGAGGTTGTTGGTGATCCTTGACCCCCATGTGATGTTGTAGGGGTAGGGGTTGCAGGGTGTGGTGAGGGTGTTGGTGATCCATGTCCAGGTCGTTTGCTTACGTGTTTGATAGTAGGCACTGACCCAACACAAATATCATGGTTGCACAGTAATACCAGTACCAGTAAGCAAGTTAAAATCACAAATATTCTCATTGTTCAAATATGATCAATTTATTAAATTTCGTAAAACACAATTATGAGCTTATATACCATGAAATATATACATGATTATAATTTTTAGTTATAAAAATAGCTTGTTTCTGTGCAAGAATATGATAAGTAATTTTAGTTTGTGGCGGAAATCTGCTTGATAATCATTATTATTTAAATATTTTACATAAATTTTAGATTAAATGATGAAATTGTGTTGCTTAATTAATGCAGATATTTTTATTTATTATTAAACTGTATTTCAGTTTACAAACAAACTAACAAGATTTATTTTTGATTGTTACTAATTTATTATCGGCTTACAATATGCATTATTTTTTTTACAAATAATCTAGTGTATTTATAAAAAATTAATAATTTTACAAATTAAGCTTATTATAAGATTTAGTTAAACATTTCTAAATATTTTATTGGATATAAGTTATTATTTTTAATTACTTATTAAACATGACAACAAAATCAATCGTATCAATAAAATTATGTAATTTTGCAAAACTAATGTATGTATGGATTAAATTGATTTAAAAATAAATTTCAATTAAACAACAATTTAATACTTGTATACTACTCATAATAATTAAAAACATTTGTTAACTAATTCCGCTATAATATAACTATAATTTACAGCGTATTACTAACAACTTGCAGACCCACTGCCAGCACCGGCACCACCTCCGACATCTGAGCCCCCGGTACCACCAATACCAGCATTATTAGTGCAACCCCCGGATGGTGGGGCTGGTGGTGGGGGTGGACTCTTAGTAGTAGTTGCTGGTGGAGATGGACTTTTAGTAGTAGTTGGTGGTGGAGCTGGTGGTGCCTCAGTTGGTATATTGACAGTATATGTATCAGACACCGACGCTGCAATATAATGGCAGTTTAATAATAACATGGCCATGATCCAGGCCATAATCACTTGTTTTTGCATAGTTTAAGACTTTATAAAAAACTATTGTTTAATCCGGCTTATACGACAGATTATAACTACAACTTAAAGTTAAGAATTTAGCTATCTTATATACATCTGATAACATACATGAGTTGGTGATTTTTAGGTTCACATGAATTAGCTAGTTGAAACAGGTAATGTCGAAATAATTTTTACTGTTTTATTAGGAAAATGATTTTATAAATTAGCTATCTTATATACATCTGATAACATACATGAGTTGGTGATTTTTAGGTTCACATGAATTAGCTAGTTGAAACAGGTAATGTCGAAATAATTTTTACTGTTTTATTAGGAAAATGATTTTATAACTTTTAAATTTTGTTGCGCCATTAATAAAACAAAACTCATGTGTATGGTATTGAGAAATATAGAAATTTAATTATTGCAGTTTAAAAATTATTAAATTAAAAGTATTAATGTTTATTTAAGTTAGGACAACACCATAATAATTAGAATAATAATAATACCACGATTATTATAATATAAAGGTTACATTTAATGCAGTATACTAATAATTCACAATCACAATAATAATTATTTATTAGTTGCTAGATAATTTTGATAGCAAACTATATTATTAACATGAGCCAGCCAAAGCCAGACAGTGTCAAGTCCAAATGCCAATACATAGCAATGAACTGTAACTAAACTTTTGTGATAGATTTGATATTAAACTTTAATACCTATAGTTCATTGTAATGTATTAGTATTTGGACTTGACACTGCTTGGCTTTGACTGGCTCACATGTTAGTTGATATAAATTTAATTAACATAATAGCGTTTAACATAGAAATAGCTATCATTACGTCTACGGCCGATAAAATTGCAGGTAATAATATTGCCAAGATATTCTAACTTTTATAATATTAAAAAAATAGATAATTTATTTCGTGACATTTGAACATATGAAAAGGGCACATTTATTATTTAGATATTGCAATAATATTTATATTTATTTCTAAAATAAATGTACACTGTACAGTATTACTGGTAAATATAAATTCTACAAATACAGGGTAGATAAATATAAAAACTTTTTTCATAACAGATTTATCTATAAAATATATAATAACATATTTGTACTATTTTTTAAATTCAAGTATTTCATCATAGCAGTCAATTTTTATAAAGTACAATGCAAACATTTCTTTAAAATATAATATGATTTTATTTATAAAATAGTATATGTCTTGAATCTAGAAGTAAATCTAAACATTACATGTATTACAGTATTATGTTGAGAAATACATACATCTTTACATTACATTATGTTAGACTTGACTTTAACATTGCGAAACATAAAAGTATTAACCTTCAAATAGACTTATCCATCAAGTATTATATTCATATCAATGTATATTTAAATACGCAAATACTAAAAATATATATATCGTAATGTTTAGTGCAAAGTGTAATTGCACTTTTCAAAATATGTTTTCAAAGTACGTTTGCACCATAACACCTCTTTAATTCAGTGACATGTTATGAATTTATAAATAGTACTTGATCATATAATTAAATACTAGCATTCTTCTAATTCTTATAGATTATTGCCAAATATTGAACATGGTTCAACAATACGGTAATATTCATAATATCCTAAATTATAAAAATATGTATTTATAACTTTAATATTATAAATTATCAAAAATCCTAATTATAACAATACAAGTAATATTAACAAGTTTGTAAAGTATTTTTTATAATTATATAATTAGTCAACATAAATATACAAAATGTTAAATAAATAATTACTACCTCGAATTAGTAATGATATCATAGTGCAAAATTAGTGTAGGCATACTTTTCCAAAGTATATTTATATCCAAAAATCCCCTCACAGTTATCACTTGTTCAAAATGATATGTTAATGAATTTATAATTAGCTTGATGATATAATAAAATATACATTACAATTTTTCCCAATAACTATTTCTTGCATAAATAAACAAAAGTTCACTAATATCTTAAAATACTCAATGTACTCTTTAGTACTCTTTAATACAAAAAATAAAAACTGTAAAAAACAAACAAATCTTAAAGAATTTTAATTATGTTTGAAATCAATATAAAAGCCGTGAATGAAAACTATAATACCCTAAAAAGCTTTTTAATATTATACATTTTTAATAAATCTACAAAATACACACTATATTACTACGAAAATGTCTAAACTATATGTGTTGGCACTGGTAGTCATCGGCTGTGGCCTGGTATGCGCTCAAATGGATTTAACCGGCTATGAGGACATAATTAAAGTCGTTTGTGTGCCCAGACTATCACGTGATAAAAAACAAATCATGGACCAATGCGATAAGCTCATTCCCAAATTTGTACGCCACCAACATAAATTTAATTTAATTTAAATAATTGCTTTGTGATACAATTTATAGATACGTACAGGGTACAGTGGCTGTGTCAAGGAAGTGCTAAAAATCACCAAATTGACTAAACCCGCGCTATGCTACCAGGTCACCGATGGCAAAAAGGTATGTCCAATTGAGCTAATTATAGAGATATTGTTTGCGTAGTGTTTATATCAATTTTTGATGCCATACCCATAGTTGGCTCCCTGTGTTCAACGTAAGGAAAAAGCAAACGCTAAGAGATTGCCGGCCGGTGTGGACGTGGAGACTATGCGGCGACAACTGACCGCTGAATACAAGACTTGCGCGCAGAAAGTGCTGTAATATTATATTTTATGGTAATTTTTAACATAATATGTATTTCTTTTATAACACATTATGTATTACTACTGTTGAATCTATACAGATCTGTATTAGTTTTTGAAATAAATACTTTGCATTGTGATATTATTATATTATTAATATTTATTTTGCTTTTAACTCTCAAAATAATAATATTTGAAATATGATTTTCAAATTTATTGATTAAATTAGAAAAAGTGTAAAGTGCAATTATTTTCCAAACAATTCATTTGGCATATATATATTATTAATTATCAAATTCTTAATATTAACCAGTCAATATTTTGATTAAAAATTATTTTCAAAATGCTAAAATTTATTACGGCTGAAGTTGGTAATTGTCATACAGAGACAACTTGTTATACCGCGGGGTAATCGTCGACCAGTATAGGTGACCCTTTAGAAAGCATACTATATCTGTGACATATTGATGTAGCAAGGGTATATTATGTGATCTCAGCGCATCGCCATACTTAATGGCCAGGGTCCACGCCCCGTCTATCATGTCCACCAATTTATCTGCCGCCCCCTGGGCGTCGCACTTGTAATTGCACATGATGATGTAGATCAGGGTGTATTTGCCCTGGTGCAGCAAGATCTCCTTTTTGCTCGAGTACAAATCATTAACATAATAAAAGTGTCTGGCCGCCCACGTGTTGAACATGGTCCACGCTTCATCAGTGACAATTTCGGGATAGTCATCAGGGTCAAATTTGGCCGATCCGTATAGAAACACTTGCATGACAATGTATCCACAGTCGACGATCCTAATTGATTTTTGTAATTAAATATCTATGATTATCAAAGTGCCAATATCTGGGCCACACTATAAAAATCACATTAATTAACTACTATTTAATAATATGTCATACCTGAGCGCATCGTACTCATCCAATGTGGGCATATGATCGCCAGTCTTAACCATTTCGGTTTCAGCGTAGAAACCCAGATATCTTATGTACCATGAATTGTGCATCGAAATCAATTTCTCCGAAAGTACCATGTTCATTCTGGCGCGCAATTCATTAAAAAATAGATCCAAAAAGTCGGCGCCAGACGAGTGGCCATCCGTTATGTTTTGCTCCCATTTTCTAATTTGTTGTTTTTTAAAATTAATATAAATAATTAACTAGTACAGTGAAAGCGGGTTAATTAATTTTTCTTATGATCAAAACATGAGTATCTGTTATGACTGTAAATAAAAACTCAAACTTCAAATACAAAGGGATAAATGAAAATAAAACAGATACCATACCTCACCCAATACTCCAGTTTCGTAGTCTGACTCTCAAGGAAATCATCCAGGAGAAAGGTGAACATATTCCACATGTTGAGCGTCGTGACATCATCCTGGTGCTTCATATTGGGAAACGAGAGCCGAGTGTAGTCAGTCAGGTCTTGGGCGTCCTTATGGGGCGCACCTTTTATGTCACTCATGAAGGTCTCCAGTAATACCTTGGCGTTTGGGACGTACTGGTTGGGGTCGACCGGTTCAACAATCACACCGCGAATCTCAAAGGCCAGTATTTGGTCGTTCAGATCGTCGCGCCGATAAATGAGCTCGTTGCTTTTGCAATCTGCCATGGTGGTGTGTCGCTCATTCACTATATCTACGAGTGCCAGACTATAGGATTTTCTCTGCAAACTAGAACTTAAAAACTTTAGGACATCACTAAATATTAAGCGAGACTAGTTATTAGTATTTTTTTGATTGAAACCTACGAGCACTAGTATTAATGAATTTTTGGTCACTGAATGTGTGTTATAAATAATTTGTTAATTAAATTTCAACACGGGTGTTAACGTTATTTTTACTAATCAACACACAGTTACATACATTTAATTACACACGTCAATTTACAGAAATAATAATTTTTTAAAGTAATTCTATATTGTTAATATTATAACTCTATTTTTAAAAACTATTTGCCCATTCAGTTAAAGTGTGCAAGTAATTATAAAATTATTTTTAACTTTAAAATAAAAATGATTTCTGTTTAAATAAAATTAAATTGATAATTTGTTCAAATGAAAGTAATGTGTAATTTATTAAAATTATATTAATTACATTTAATGCGAATCAAAACGTTTATTAAAAATTATTATAAAATTGTAATGCTAAACTCAAATAAATGGGAAACATTTTAAATTAATAAAATTACTTATTTTTAATTCAGATTTAAAACAGCATTTAATGAAACAAACTTTGTAAAATATACCAAATGTATAATTAGTAGAAACTTTAAGATCCTGGATTTGTATGTAAAAAGTACATATAATCCCTGTGTAATCCTGGTCATATTTTATAAGGTTATATTTGTTGCATAAGGTTTTATATCCAATCATTATATCAAGAAGTCAAGAATTAACATAGCACATATAGATAATATTATTAGTATTTTGATACTTCAGTAGGGATCTAGCTTAATTTACAACCACATATTATTTTATTTATATATTACATAAATTTTTAAATTAAAATTTAATGTGAATTAAATTTTTAAATAACAAATAATAAACAATTATATTGTACAACGGGTGTACCAAACAAAGTTATAAATATATTATCAAGTTATTTATAAGCTTAAGATAATGCCAAATAATTAATAGACAAATAATAATAATTCATAAATAATGTTAAATAATATATCAATATTACAATAATTTGTATAAATGATATACAGTATTTTAAGTTCTTAATTTTATTTATATTATTTACTGAACTCAAATACTGTATTATAAAATATGATATTAAAACATAAATAGCATATATTTAATAATATAATGTAAGTTTGCTTATACTGTATTAAAATATAATGTGTTCTTGACAAATTAGATAATATTCGTTAATATATTTATAATCAATGAAAGCATACATAAAATATTTATTTCCTTGTTACTATTTAATTATATGCTATGATTTGAATTGACAAATAATTTAATTGTTTAGACACATGAATACATTATAAAAAAATTATTTGATAGTCATCCTTGAATATTTTACATTTCTATGAAACAAATAATATTTTAAACAATAGTATTTATAAAATATTTCAGTATAATAATCAAAATATAATTGCAGTGCCTCTATGATACTGTATTTAGTCATAACATACTGTACAACACAATGGGAATAAGTATTACCGTAATAGTAAGAAAATCAATAGTAAGCTGCACCTACTAACTTGATAACCTTGATAAGTATGCATACACTGTATTCATACTAGATGTGCACCGATCGGACTTTTCTACCCGCTATTCCTAAATGCCCTCTCATTCACAGAATACTATCATTCATAATGTTATGATTATATAAATAGTTGGCGAATATAACCTTGGTGGAAAGTCTCACTGTACCGACTCGAAGGTATAAATACGGAACACAAGTATGAAATGCTAAGCATTTGTTGTTCAGAAATATAAAAGTTTAAGATATATTATACAATCACTCTATGAGTCTCTGTATTAGTAATTGAATTACAAGTCGATCTCAAACAATGTCTCTGACATACAATTTCAGTGGTAAAGTGGTGCTGATCACAGGCTCGAGTGGGGGTATCGGTGCCGCCACTGCCGTACAGTTCTCCAGAGCCGGTGCTAATGTTGTGGTCACCGGTAGACGAGCCGATAATGTGTCACAAGTGGCCAAAGAGTGTCTCAAAGTATCACCGAATAAGTCGCGGGCACTGGAAGTGGTGGCGGATGTGACTAACAATGAAGATCTTAAACGACTTGTGGACACAACTGTCAAACACTTCGGGAAACTCGATGTTCTGGTGAATAACGCCGGCGCCGCTATTATGACTGGTGTCAGTGATAAGCAATACTACGAGAATCATCTGAGAGTAATGCAAATAAATCTCAATTCTGTGGTCTATTTAACGCATATATGTGTCGAGCATTTGGAGAAAACAAAGGGAAATATTATAAACATCTCGAGTCTCGCGGGTATGCGAACCGTAAGTATATATTTGTTAACTAATCTGAAAACTTAATAAAATAATAAATTTTATAAATACGGTTATTAAATATATCATATAATATACTATATTATAGTCTATGTACGGCTCCTCCTATTGTGCGTCTAAGTGTGCTCTCGATATGTTCACCAAATGTATGGCCGCCGAGTTGGGACCCAAACGTATTCGGGTGAATGTGATCAAGTAAGATTTTTAAAATAGTGATAGATTTATAAAACTCAAAATTAACGCTTTATTTGAATTGACGCCAACATTGCAGTCCCGGACCCATCCGCTCCGGCTTTCTGACAGCTATGGGTCTACCCAACGACGCGTCCGACAAATTTCATGACAAATTGGGCCAAATGTAGTAAGTAACTTTTTAGTTTATTATAGTTTTCATTCACGGCTTTTATATTGATTTCAAACATAATTAAAATTCTTTAAGATTTGTTTGTTTTTAAAGTTTTTATTTTTTGTATTAAAGAGTACTAAAGAGTACCTTGAGAATTTTAAGATATTAGTGAACTTTTGTTATTTATGCAAGAAATAGTTATTGGGAAAAATTTTAATGTATATTTTATTATATCATCAAGCTAATTATAAATTCATCAACATGTCATTTTGAAAAAATGATAACTGTGCGGGGATTTTTGGGTATAAATATACTTTGGAAAAGTATGCCTACACTAAATTTGCACTAAGATATCATTACTAATTCCAGGTAGTAATTATTTATTTAACATTTTGTATATTTATGTTGACAAATTATATAATTATAAAAAGTACTTTACAAACTTATTAATATTACTTGTTTTGTCATAATTAGGATATTTAATAATTTATAAATTTATAAATACTATTTTTATAATTTAGGATATTAAGAATATTACCGTATTGTTGAACCATGTTCAATATTTGACAATAATCTATAAGAAATAAGAATTAGAAGGTATGCTAGTATTTAATTATATGATCAGGTACTATTTATAAATTCATACCATGTCACTGAATTAAGGTGAAATTAGGATACAAATGTACTTTTATATTTTGAAAAGTGCAATTAAACTTTGTACTAAACATTACGATATATATATTTTTTAGTATTTACGTATTTAAATATCCATTGATATGTATATAATATTATACTTGATGGATAAGTCTATTTGAAGGTTAAACTTTTATGTTTCTCAATGTTAAAGTCTAGTGTAACATAATCTAATGTAAAGTTGTATGTATTTCCAACATAATACTGTAATACATGTAACTTTAGATTTACTTCTAGATTCAAGACATTTACTATATTTATAAACTAATATTAAATTTTTAAAAAATGACTGTTATGATGAAATACTTGAATTTTAAAAAATAGTACAAATAACAAATATGTTATTTTATTTTATTGTAATAGATAGACCTGTTACGAAAAATGTTTTTATATTTATCTACCCTGTATTTGAAGAACTTATATTTACCAGTAATACTGTACAGTGTACATTTATTTTAAAAATAAATATAAATATTATTGCAATATCTAAATAATAAATATGCCCTAAGTTTAAATGTCACGAAATAAATTATCTACTTTATTAATAACTATTATAAAAGTTAGAGTATCTTAGCAAAATTATTTTATCTGCAATTTGTAATTTCAAGATATTAAAATAGTATTTGATTAATACCTAACAACAAAATTATTTTAATTAATATTAAAATGTATAAAATAAAGTAGGTTACAATAATATTGCCTTATATCTGATGTTAGAAAGCAAACTGAGGATTATATATAGGATATGAATTTAAATATTTGTCATAGCTTTTGAGTAAAGTATAATCATGTATTATCCTATATATAATCCTCAGTTTGCTTTCTAAGGCCAGATATGTAGAATATTTTCATTAATTCAGTATATTAAAAATAATTGTACTTGCCTGTAATATTAACAACTTATATAAAGTATGTTTATAAGTTTTAAATCAATCTTGGTGTTAATGATCACATTACTAGCAATTAAGCATGGTCAATCGGTCTATGTGAAATTAACCCTAGAAGTTGGTACTTACTTTGAATACACAGTACATTATTTAAATGTAAGGTGTACATACGATTATGATTACGATGAGGCAATTAAACACATCCAGGTTACTATCAATGGTAAAATCTTATTTGAGAACGGGGAGAAAACTAAATAGAGTGAGTGAACTGACCTAGGTGGAGTGACCTAGTTAAAATAAACTATGTATTGTTTTAATTAAAATTATGTTTACTCTTAGAGCCTGAATTTAACGAGACCCTGAACATTAAGACCCAAGTGGACAAGTATGTAGGGAGAGGTGAGTTTACAATTGTTAATGTGACCAGGTAAGCGTTTAGCGACTACCGGTGCAAAGTTGACTACTAGTCCAATATTGACAATAAACTGTTGAGCACCGGTACTTCCGATTGGTTTCATGTGGGCCGTAAGCATAATGATAGCTATTTATATGTTAAACGCTATTATGTTAATTATGATTAAATTTATATCAACCAGCATGTTAATAATATAGTTTTCTATTAAAATTATTTTAGCGACTAATAAATAATTATTATTGTGATTATGAATAATTATTATGTTGCATTAAATGTAATTTTTATAATATAATAATCTTGGTATTATTATTATTCTAATTATTATGGTGTTGTCTTAACTTAAATAAACATTAATACTTTTAATTTAATAAATTTTTAACTTCAATAATTAAATTTCTAATATTTCACAATACAATACACATAAATTTTATTTTATTAATGGCGCAACAAAATTTAAAAATTATAAAATCATTTTCCTAATAAAACAGTAAAAATTATTTCGACATTACCTGTTTCAACTAGCTAATTCATGTGAACCTAAAAATCACCAACTCATGTATGTTATCAGATGTATATAAGATAGCTAA